AGCATTTAATAAGTTATTTTAAAACCCTGCACGATGTGTAAATAGTCGCCGACATTTTTTTTAATTTTTACAAATACGTTTTATTACATACAAAAAAAAATAATAAGGTTTCTTTTGTCACAATCGTCTTTATATATAAATATACAAAATGTTTTTTTTTTAACTTAAATTATTATATATTTTTTATAACATTGTATTTGTTTTACAATTGTTTAATATAAACGATTTTTTTTTTACAAAAATAAACAATTAATATAAAATATTTTTATTTGTTGTTGTTTTTTCTTTATAATTTTAACAAAGTCTATGCAGTTGTATTGAATAAATAAAAAAAGTTATTTTTTAGTTGCTGGTGCCACAAACACCTGGGCCGAATGATATAAATACATTTGTAATAGAAAAATGGTATCATCAAGGGATAATTCCGCCTTGGACAATGTCTTGATGCGATTCTTCACTTTATCCAAGATTTCTCGTTCAGGTGGGGTTAGAGTTTCAAGAATCTGAAATGGAAAATAATTAAAATATTGGGTTATTAGTGAAATTAAGGAGTGTGGCATATTTAAGTCCATTACTCTATATTAAACCAGTAAGGAAAATAGTAAAGTCGGACTGGGCCGACTATATGACACCCTCCACCACTTTGGGTATATTCTACATAGTCTTCTAACAGACGTTGCCTTTTCGAAGGAACATTGTCATGAAATTGAACGAATGATATTTAGGGACTTAAATCGGACGAAAAAATATATTTGAGCTACATCTAAAACTGAACCGATATTCACGAAACTTAACGCATTCTAGACTTAATTCAGTGCGCTATAGGGGAGACTGGGGCACCTTCGGCATCGGGGCACCTTCGGCAATCGCGTTTTGGATATGAAGCTCTCACCGTACATCACTAGTTTCCATACATATGTATCGAATATCGAAATAAATAACTGACACAAAGTTTGAAAATTCTAGCTAATAAGCTTATTTAGATATATGGGTTTTTGTATTTTTATAGATGTTTCTGTAATATTTCAATTCCATTTCGTAAGTATTTCGTGTATAAAACTTTTTAAATTTTTAAGACAATATTATTAAAAAGTGGTTAACTACGACGTGTATTATTATAGAAATATTTAAAAATATAATGTTTTTACAAAACTGATCGAAAAAATGAAAAAAACTATAAAAAGTACATTCGGGGTACATTCGGCATTTTAAAGTGGGGCACATTCGGCCATATACAGATTGTGCAATATTGTTTCCTTAAAATGTTTTTGAGTTTGTCTTTAAAACTAATCCTTTAATATCGCTCGAAATTGCATATATAAGATCAAACGTGCTTGTATTGACGAAAAGGCGATAGAAAACCCCTATTTCTGATAGTGTGTGCGAACTTGAGATGTAAACGTCCGCCGCTAGAAAATAAAGTCCTATAATTCAAACATTGTGTGGCGTATTAAAGCCAAATAGAGCCTTTAGAGGATCAGAATTTCAACCAGACTGATAGCGATGACAATTACCCGGCTATGACTATGGTGCCGAATGTGCCCCATCAAATGCCGAAGCTACCCCGGGTTGGGGCACATTCGGCGAATTTGACTTTTTTTACAAAACTGTAAAATTTTTTAACAAATACTATTTTTTTATATCTTTTTGGTACTATTTTTTATAATTAAGTGTCCGAGGACAATAATCAGCCATAAAGTTGTTATATATGTTGAATAAGTACTGAGATATAGAGCTCTAAAAAAAAGTGCCGAAGGTGCCCCAGTCTCCCCTACAAAATTTCGTGCAAATCGAAAGATATATAGAGATTTTGGCGCACCATTTACCTTAAATCGGACGAAAATATATATGTGAGCTATATCTAAATCTGAACCGACTTTCACGAAACTTAGCACACATCATTATAGACTCAATTCAGTACGCTATGCCAAATTTCGTGCAAATCGAAAAATATTTGGGGACTTTGACGCACCATTTACCTTAAATCGGACGAAAATATATAAATGGAGCTATATCTAAATCTGAACCGATTTTCACGAAACTTCACGTACGTCATTCTAGGCCTAATTCAGTACGCTATGCCAAATTTCGTACAAATCGAAAGTTATATAGGGTCTTGGATTTAGCATTTAACTTAAATCGGATGAAGATATATATGGGAGCTATAACCAAATCTGAACCTATTTTCACGAATCTTAACACACATCATTCCAGACTTAATTCAATAAGTTGTGGCAAATTTCGTGCAAATCGAAGGATATATAGGGACTTTGGTGCACCATTTACCTTAAATCAGATAATATTATATATGGGAGCTATATCCAAATCTGAACTGATTTGTCCAAATGTCAATAGGGCTCGTCCTTGGGCCAAATCAATGAGCTGTGCCAAATTTCATCCAAATCGGATGATAAATGCGACCTGTACTTTATTTTTTTTTTTTTTTTGTTGTTGTCTACGATATAGTTGTTGTAGCAGCCCTATTGCTTTTACACAATGGTGACAGACGATGGCTGAGTAAGACTCGGGCCGTTTCGGATCGTGATCACCTATATCGTGCAGTTTTGCTTTATGCCTGGCTACGTGTTTAACTCGGTGTCTTAAAATTCCGAATCTCTTATATTCGTTCAATTTTATAACTCTAGGTCGTCGGTTAGTACACTGGAATAACATAATTTAATATGGGTAACTTACCTCGGCAATATACTCTTCGGATTCCCCTCTCTCTTTCATTGTTGCAACAATGCTATCCAACTTTTGAGATTTTTCAATTAAACGTTTGTGTTCATTCTTCTCATAATTGGAACGGGTTATATCATTGTATAAAGCCTTAAAGCAAATGTCCAGCAACATTTTGGCAATCTGGAAAACATTAACAAAAATAAATTTTAATTATACTCCTAAAATTTATTTTTTAAAATACGTACCTGTTTATATTTCAAATAAAACAAATAGAAAGCCTTTGCTGGTCCAGTGCCACCACCCCCCGCTTTGCGTATTGTTTTAATTTGAAGAAATTGTTCTTGAAATAAATTATAAGATAAAAGCTTCGCTTCTTTTGCCGGTACCATAGCCTCCTTTTGTAGATCTTCTTGTTCGATATATTTTTTCATTCGCACAACACGAAAGATTCGCGATGCTTTCGAACCAAAACGTTCGGTAATGACATTTTCTATGCATGCCAAGGCCAATGATTCAAAGGCGGGTGCTAAATCTACCACATATTGACCGCCACCCATTTCACCAATTTTTCTTATGAAATGCAGGGAGTCATCGGCTAAGAACAATATAATCAAATTGTTTAAATTATTTCAAATGGATAGATTTTGAATTACTTTACCAATTAATGCCACATATTGATCTAAATGCCTTATCAAATCCAAATTATTTGAGTTCTTTTCCACCACATGTTTCACTTCGACAATAGTAAAGGGATTAGAAGCTTGCTGTAAATATTTTTAATAAAATTTAATAATTTTTAAAACGATTGTTAGTAAACATACTCTTTGCCAGGGATCGGTTCTCTCGTACATTTGCTTTAGTATAAGTTTAAAACATTCGGCAGCACTTGCTCCCAATTTCCTTTCTACAGCCGATATCATACATTGATCTCGAAAATCTTGATGGAAACGTTTGAAGTTCAATTGCCAAAATATTGCTGGAAATAGAACAAACATTAATGCACAAGAAAGGGAATGAGTTATAATATATGACAGAGATTTCCTCCTTTGAAATATATTCCAAATTAAAAAAATATTCGCTCTCACCTGCATCCCTTAGTTGTGTGGCCTGTACAGTACCAGCCTGAACTTTAGCCAACATCGATAGATCAATATCGGGTGGATTAAATAAATCATAATCTTCTATGTGCAGCTTTGGCACTAATTCTGGTTCACCGCTCTCATTTGGCACCAACATCGGAAGTTTTATTAAATAATTGTCACGTATCATTAGTACAAAGGTGTCGCGGATGGTTTCCACTTTCTCATTAATTTCATTGTTTGCTAAACATTTCAATAATGTATTCGAGGCAGTTTGAGAACCAGAGTACAATAATTCCTCGGCAATGGCAGCACCAACCGAACCATATTTGGTTTGTATTAAATGGACATATCTAGAAATAAGAAAACCAAAGGATATCATTAGTCTTGGAAGTTCATTGATTTTATGGAATTAATCTAGAGTTTGATTCAGGAAAAGGGACCGATTGCGTTTTTAATATTTAAATAATGTAGATTTGCGGAAATCCATAATTTCCGATATATGGGCGTATCATTATTTTTTTTTTTCAAAAAATTTTTTTCTATTTTCTATTTGCTCTCAAATTCAGTTCAGGTGCTCTCTTTGGAATGCTGAAAGTGCCTACAAGTGGTTTTTGATGTATTCAATTGACGGGTAAGATCTTCGTCGCCGTATTGCAGTTCTCAGCGCGGCATTCTGGCAGGTCTGAAAATTATACCACTGCGTATCACGTACTTTCGCTTTTGCACTCTTTGTTAGGAGCCCCAAACTTCTACAAATATTCCACAACATTCCGATGGTAAGAACCCGCATCAACCGGTATTCACAGACACACAATCTTACCTTGAATAGCGTAAAATATATAAAATCTCATCACGTTTAAGTGAATATTCCGCCACAAAGGGATTAACATCATTAGGTTGAAATGTGACCAATTGATATTTGATTAAAATACCCAGAGCCGTGGAGACCTATAATTCAAAAACAAATTTTAATTTCAATTTTTTTTAAATTAAAAATCAAATATTTCCACTTGCCTCCCTTCTGGTCAAATTCGTGGACTTGACAATGTTTCCCAGTGTTCGGGCATTTGCCGCGAATAGACAATCTCCCACAAGTTGCACAGTTTCGCCGAAGCATTGTTTTAATATTACCGAACATAAATTTCCATAATCTATAGACATTTTATTTAATTTTATTCAATTTTTTTTAAACAAATTAAACGAATGTTACTATTTTGTTTATATTTGTTTACAAAGAGCACGTTCCTTCTTGTTCCCAACCAATAAAAATTGAAAAACGTTCCACTTGTTAACGAATGGGGGAGATGGCAAAATGACCGATGAAGAAGAACTCAACGTAGGATAACGAAATATTTACGAATGAGGTGGGATCATGGCCTATAAATAAGGTCACCAAGGGAGACCAGCTGATTATCGATACCTCTCAAGTTTGCTGTCAAAATGCATTATTGTGAATTGACTTCCATTATGAAAACGTAAACAAAGCCGAAATCAAGATCTATTAATAAGGTCACCAAGATAGCAAACGAAATCGGAAAACAGCTGTTTTTTCTCAAGTCTAAAGTCAAAAATTTCGACTTTGTTTGTACAAACTATGTTTGTACGTTTTCATAATGGAAGTCAATTCACAATAATGCATTTTGACAGCAAACTTGAGAGGTATCGATAATCAGCTGGTCTCCCTTGGTGACCTTATTTATAGGCCATGGTCGAAATTTTTGACATTAGACTTGAGAAAAAACAGCTGTTTTCCGATTTCGATTGCTATCTTGGTGACCTTATTAATAGATCTTGGGTGGGATAGAGACGGCATGAGAACCGATTATAAAATTAGCGATTAATCAACTTTTTTTTTTGTTTTAAGTTTTTGGCCCGCCTCCCGATGGTCGAGTATTAACAGCGCCACCACCAATTAATCAACTTGTTATTTTGAAAATCTAATGGCATGTCGCTGAGTTCAAAACTACACAAATGTTCGACAACGGAATATTAGGTCTGTTCCAGTGCAGATGTACAATTTTACTACGATAACAATTCTTCCTTTATGATATCGGGAAAAATAGTAAAAATTAGTAGATTCTTGCAGTACGGGAACAGACCAATTAATAACGGCCACATTTAACTACAGTAGTAGTTAAATTATTTATGAACAGAAAAGTCAATTATTTCTGTATAGGAAAGCCATAAGTGCAGATATCTAAAATTAAGTACCCGCCTCATTGTACACGTAAATGAAATCACTGCATAAGACATTCATACACGGGAAATCATACTAAGCATGAACCACCGAAAAAATGCGTTTTACTCTTCAACTCTTTTGTTTAACAATCAATGTTTTTTATACTGAATTCACATACATATTGCATATTTTATTGCATTTATTTGAAGTTAAGATGGAGCATAAAAATTTGTCCAATTTAAAACCAGTAAGGAAAATAGTAAAGTCGGACTGGGCCGACTATATGATACCCTTCACCACTATAAGTATATTTTACATATGGTCTGTTCCCGTACTACAAGAATCTACTACTTTTTACTACGATAACGAATTTTCTTTTATGATATCGCAGAAAATAGTTAAATGTAGTGGATTCTTGCAGTACGGGAACAGACCAATAGTCTCCTAACAGCCGTCTTTGGTTCACCATTTACATTAAATCGGATAAAAATATATATGGAGCTATATCTAAATCTGAACCGATTTTTACGTAACACGTACGTCATTCTAGGCATAATTCAGTACGCTATGCCAAATCGTGCAAATCGAAAAATATTTATGGACTTTGGTGCACCATTTACCCTAAATTGGAAGAAATTATATATCGAAGCTATATCTAAATCTGAACTGATTTTTCCCAATTTCAATTGGTTCGTCCTCGGGCCAAATAAATCAGATGTGCCAAATGTCTTCCAAATCGGATGATAAATGCGACCTATACTTTGTGATTCTATGAAAATTCTCAAAAGGAAACATGGGTCTATCTCGTTTCCTTTTGTCTGTTACAAACATATGCACAAAGACATAATACCATGTACCACAATGTGGTGAATATATAGATCGTATGGTCAATATAGATAAAGGTCGTATGGCCAATAAGGAATACTACTTTGAAGTTATGCACTAGTATAATAGGGACAATATAATTATTAAAGAATAAATAAACGGTCCATTTTAATACCCTTAAATTTATGGCTTTGATAAGGCAAAAATCTCACCATAGAAATATCGGGGTCTAACCATATTTCTTGGCACCAAATCCGTTCCAGACAATTTTAAGTCGAATTACAAATGTCCGTCCGTCCGTCGGGCGTTTTAAGAGGTATTGTTATTTGGGGCTACCATGATAATTTTCTAACCCATGAAGATGGTCCAAATTGTTAAGAAAAACTAATAGTAGGAGTATAATAAAATCCCACCAAGTAATATTTTTACCAGGGTGTACGAAGGTGGATCTATTGGCCCACACATTCTTTTATGAAGTAAAACTCGAAGATGTGGTCTATTGGTCCACTTCTTCTAGTACCTTCTCACATGTGGTTAACTTTTTAATAAATATATACCAATATATCTATATATACCACATATGGGCAGTAAATCTGTTCGATTCCGCAATGCCTATTTTTTAATAATAGCAAACAAATTATTTTCCATTATACCTGATTTTTCTATATATTATATTTGGTGTTAATGTGACCGTAATGTTTGTTGAAGTGACATGAAATGAGCGTTTACTTTTAATGCTGAGTGTAAATACACAATGTTTCTCATACAAGCCTATTTTAAAGCATACTTCTAGGAGCAATCAATAAAGGGAGAAAATACAACCACACAAACACGTGTCTGGCAAAGTCGTTTTGCTATTGTTGTTGGACAAAAGTAATGTAAAAAATAAATTGTAATTTTTTTATAAAGGATAAAAGGAAATTTTAGAAACAAAATGGAATGAAAGGACAGTAGTGAAAAGAAACTTCATATTACGTACATTAAATTGAAAGAGAAAAATATGTAATATATATAATTTTTTATAACATTAAAAAATATGCCGATTGGACATAGAAAACATGTGGTCTTCAAATTTTACAGTTATGCTAGTAAATAACGTTAAAAATACAACAACAATTCCACGTTTCCCCAAAAATATTTAGTTGAAGAAATGCAAACAGTACAGTTTGATTGGATTATTTATGACTTTCTATTGAGATTGATTATCACCTTTTTCTAAATATGATAACCTCCTCAAAAGGTTTCTATGTGAAAATCTTGGACACGCGTTGAAAATAGAGTAAATTGTATTTGATATGGAGAAAATAGAAATGAAAAAATTTCGAAATAAAAATAATAGAAATTAATCGGTTCCTAGGTCAAGATACATTCATTTAATAGTTATTGAATTTATTTAATATAGAAATACATTTTGTCTAATTGCAAAAATATTATACCCTGGATTTTATATACAGTCTATAATATTAAAAAAAATTTCTATGAATCATCGCCTTTATAGGTTACGCATATTTTCCTCTATTTTTAATTTCTATTATTTAATTTTTGTTTATTAAAAGATTTATATTAAAAGACGAGTTTAAAAAATATTACGGAGCCCTTTTATATTAAAAAATACAATACACCTCTTTGGAAAAATATTTAAAAATTTCTAAAAAGTACAAATATTGTACGTGCCCTACGGGGTCGAATTCACTGTGATTATTAATCAGCCGATTCAACACGGAAAAGAGACACGTTTTTTTTAATTTTAATCTATCTGCGGGATCACGGTTGACAATTTGGCAATATTACATTGTAACCTCAAATGCGCAGAAAATTTTAAGACTTTGTAACAAAAAGAGCAGGACATAGAATCCTTTAAGGATTCTAAGACAATTGAAAAGAACAAATCCTTCAAAAATTCCTCTAAGGAAATCAATAATCTAATTTTCACTATTTCAATATATCCGCAACCAAAAATTTTGAATAACGTTCTCCAGCAACAGTCACCACTGAAATGAATATTTGATTCCCACAGAACTGACTACGAAGCATTTTACATCTCCAGGCGTGAATCCAGCCAACCAACCAGCCACGTAGTGGAAATAAAAAGAGAAGTACATAGATGTACTGCTCACACACACACCCCTCTTGAAATGTTTATTGGGTGGCTGACTGGCATTCTTTCTCTCTTGTTGTTTCTTTGTGTATTTCTTTTTTGGAAGAACCCCGTCAATGGGCAAAACAATAACAAACCTATTTTATTGTTGTATTTTTTAATGGAATTTAAGAAATTACAACAACAATAGCAGCAGCAGAAACCTGTTTGGTGAGTTGTCGAAATTTTGGATTTTTTTATTAACAAAAGTATTGCGTGTGTGCGTATGTGTCGGGTCCACTGAGTAAATGAGTGCTTAGTGTACAGGGTTGGAAATAATGAATTTGAGTAATAATGAATTTGAACAAGTAAAAAAGCGTTAAGTTCGGCCGGGCCGAACTTTGGATACCCTCCACCATAGAAATACTGAAAAATGTTTGAAATTAAAACATAGGGAACCTACATATAACGACAATTTTTTAGGTAGGATGTTTTATATAGGACCTGGTCCTAAATGCGGGTCGATACAGTTCATTCTCAAACCTCACGTTTTAGATTTTATGTCGATATCCTCCGAGAGAAAAATTATTGCAACGTATGGCTAAATCGACTAAATCGTTTTAGAATTCCGTACTATGTGGGCTATGAACTGAACATTTCGTCTACCGAATATCCCCCCTACTATGGTGGAATAATGCTATATGGGATAACCCCAACACACGGAAAAACTCAGCTAACTATTTTAAAGTAAAAAAGGGGGTTCTAAGGGGACTACCCCTAAAAGGGGGTGAATATTAATAATTTTTGGTAGGAAGATTTGTTACCATATACGACTACAAAATACCAAATTACAGCCAATTCGGTTGAAAAACGGGCTCAAGAACCCCAAAATACCGAAAATTGGGGGTACCCTTATAAGGGAGCTATGCCTAAACGTGGACCGATATAGCCCATCATCGAACTTGACCTGCCTGCAAACAAAAGACGACTCTATGCAAAATTTTGGCGTTCTATCTCCATTCGTTTAGACGCTAGAGTGATTACAACAGACAGACGGACATGGCTATATCGTCATAGAAA